TATCGTCTTCTTTCGGAATTCTAACCTCAATAACTTCGTCCTCGGTGATAATGATGTGGGTGCCTGGACTCCACGAGTTCCTGTGTTTGGGATTGCTTTTGAAGGGAAACCGCGGTTTGCGATTTTCAGGTGGAATAAACCGGTGAGGCATATTCTGTCGACGAAGCTGTTTTGCTATTTCCTGCTGCTGCAGATTTTTGAATCGAATCTGTTCTTGCCTCATCCAACGTAAACGCCCACGTCTGAAAGCTGGATCGCCTGCCATTAACTGAGACACGCGCTCCTCCTTAGCAAGATCGTCATTCTCGCTTCTCTTTGCCTCGTCTGCGGCCTTCTTGTCCACATCCACTGCACCGGCAGAGTTTGGAGACTTGGCGTTAGCTACAGTTGACTGAGCTTTGTCTGGAGACCCTATCAGGGGTAAAACCTTCTCCATTTTTAGCATTTTATTTCTGAGAACTTTGATCTCTTCATCCTTCATGTTGTTCTGCTTCTTCACTTCTTGCAGAATATCTTCCAATTTGTCTATGTGCACCTTTAGGTCATCCACGTCAGTTATTCCTTTACCGTTGGCCATCACATCTTCAATCTTTTCATCTCCGACTCCCACTGTATCCCAGACATCCCGAGCGACAGCTCGCCACGATTCGCGCTCATTTGGGTCTTTTTTCCCATACATGGCACAAAGCTCTTTCATTTTAACAATGGCCAGAGCCTCAATCTCCTGCCTACTGTGCCTGAAGTCATTGAGTGCTACCTCATAGCATATCTCCTTCACAGCCTGAATCTTTAGGTCTGAGATGGTGACCCATTTGGAGTCTTTGCTAAGGCGTCGCCGTTGGGGTATCTGGTACATTTTAATAGGTTCTCGTTTCTTCCCACTGCTGGGGAGGCCACACTTTTTTACAATGGTTTGGAGCTTGCTGGGGGGCAGCTTCTCTCTCAGGGAAGTGATCAGTCTCCAACTCTCCTCACACGATCTCTTGTCCGAATCATCCCCACTATCAGAGTCTGCATCCTTTGGAAAAACAAAAATCAAGAAGTGGCCCCAAAATAACCAAAATTAAAATTGTAAGAAAATGGAAAAGCTAAACAAGAAGTAGCAGGCAAAGAAAACTAAATCAAAAATCAAAATAGAATAAGTGATAAGGAGGTCCCTGAAGACTGAGTGTTAGGGCATTAAAATGCATCTTCAAGAGTCATGGACTGCCAAAACTGGAGCTCTTCACTACATAAAGATTGACATTATATTTAAGTCCTGTCATCTCATAATAGCTGATAATCTGAACTCTTCCCTCCCAAACCCTTCCAAAATCTTTAAATAGTCCGACTAAAACCAAGTTCCGGGTTTTATATCTTAAAACCAAGTGTAAACTGCAGTTCACACATGCTACAAAGACATGCAAATCCCCACCACACGCATTTGCCTTGGTGACTGCTGTTGCTTCTTTCAGCAAATCCTCCCCAGGAAGGTGAGCACAACAGCCACAGAAGATGTCATGAGCAGCCAGAGTAAGTCGGGTTAACACTGGTTAGTAACGTTGCACGTGGTTGCAGGGATGCTCAAGTTTAGAATCCATTTCACTACAACAGCAGCCAGAGAAGTGTTAGACGATAAGAAAAAATGAAAGAGAAGCAGCCGAAAGGTTCAATGTTAAAAGGACTGTAAGTGCCACTATGACAGACGAAGACAGTGGTTCATACTCCAAGACTTGCTACAAGCTAGAAGGATATCCAGAATCAGAGTTTCAGAGGTGGGTTGTGGTTTGTTTGATTTTTTTTTTTTTCCATTTGGCACCTTGTTGCTTAGTTTAAAGGGAAAAAAAAACCATTATCAGTCTTGTCTGTCCGAAGATTGAGTTTCAGCAGAATGCAGAGCAATGACTTTCTGGTTTTAATCGTTTTAATACGAATTTTCTATTTGATATCCTTGATTTGTCTTCTTCTCAAACCCTAGAGCCTGGAGCTTCCACACACTTGCTAAGCATTATGCGCTTTGCTTCTTCATTACAAGTTTTCCACCTTTTGCTAAATGATTTTTAATGAGCAGTGCCTCGGGTTTCCATATGCTAGGAATGTCTGTTCAGATAAACTGCCACCACAAGTTAAGGATATCCATCATTGCTTACTGCAACCAGGAATTAAAATAGACCACTTTTCTTTAAAGGCCGATTGAGACATCTCTTTAACAAGCAAGAAGTCCTATGTATTACTGTGATCCAAACACCTTCAACACAGTCAGTGTCTAATGCAGCTCTAACTAACATCCCTGTTTTCCACGTGGAGATTTAGAGCACATGAGAAACCAGAACAGTAACAGCCACTTACTCTAAAACCAAAGGAAACCCAGGTCATTGAGCCAGCACCAGATTGACATTATTGAGCTTCTTGTGACTTAATGTAGTTTTAAGAACAGTACTAGAGAACCAACTCCTAACTGAGGTCAAAATATAAGCAAAACACTGGTTTAGAAACTCTTTGTGAGTTTACAGCTGACAAAAGTTGTGGCCTAAGGAAACAGCATCTAGCAAACTGCAGAGTGCAGTGGAAAGCAAAGGTTCCCTGGAGGAAGCCCCAGTGTAGCTGGGCCACTCAGGGATACAACCAGGAAGGCAAGACATGAACTACTCCAACATTAAGTCACAAGTTCCACAGGACTCTGATAGTTACAAAGCTATAGAACTACTTATGGGTAAAGCATGTCTTCGTATCAAAAAATGATGAAGAGACACTGAGGCATTGCCCTGTGTGCACTCAGAGGTTACCCACACCAATTAGTGCAGCTATAATCAAAACTCCAATATCAGCTGGCCACTGCAGAGGCATTATGACCATTTTAGCTCTATTACAAACATTTTCACAATCAATTTGTAAAATGGAGAGCAACTACTTCTATTCCCTAGTAATACTAGCAAGGCAAAGATATTTTAGTTGGCAATTTTGGGGGCCAAGAGCTATTGCTTATTTTTTTTAAACAGCACATCTAACAAATAAACATCCAGACTGGTTGGAATCTCAGCATAAAATCAAAGCAATCTGGTAAACAGGATTAGCTAGCTTCTTACATCTGAGATTATACTCCAGTTTAGACCAAGAAGAATATTTATATCTCAGTATCAGTCTTACACAGCAGTAAGTCAGAGAACCTGGCACTGCAGCTGGCTATGGAACAATGTAAAACACTTTGAAGGTACACAAGCTGAAATGCACTCCCAGATCTCCCACTCATCATTCAGCTATGGCTGCACGGATGCACTAACCCTGTCCATCCCAGGCTCTGCACACAGCAACACAGAAATCGTGAGCTGTGTCAGCAAGCTCTGCTGTCACCTGGAATATTCTCATGGAGCACTGAGATAAGCAGGGTACTGCTCCCTGACCAAGATCTCATCTGATATGATCCCTTACAGCTAGGACAGGTGTCCTTCAGGAACTGCTGTGGCATGTAGGGTAGCATTCCACCTTTGTCCACTCACTGAAACCAGTGAGAACAAAACAAACTTGAAGAAACCAGCATCTTTGTTGTATTAACCACTCCACTCTCTAAAGAATTTTCCCTTAATCTGAAGTATTTGGGGAAATAAATTTCCTTCACAACACTTTATAAATGCAGCCTTATTGGAAGCAGCTTCCCAGACAGCCAATTTCACATCTTTAATTCATACAATAGCTTAGCTTGTGCCAGTCAGCTAAAATTTAGAGGAGGGAATTCCATTACTTGCATCTCATTTGACACATTGCCAAAAGTTACTCAATACTCAAACTATTTTTATTTTCACATTTTTACTGTACTATTTTTTTGCTACCCAAATTTTAACTATAAAATTCCAGAGATGAAACATTACATTAGTCACTTTTAAGCTTTTTTTTCTGAACTAATGGTGGTTGCCTTGGTCAAAGTCTGCAGCCACTCATCTCGATCCAAGAAATTAGCCCCTTGTGATGAAATAATTAGAGATGCAGAAGTCTCTAAGTGTGTAATAGGAATTTTTTTAAAAATTATGTAGCTTCTTCCTGTGGAAGCCACAGTACTTTGCTCCATTCTGGCTTGGGGAGAAGGGCAAGACCTTTACAGTGCAAAGTCCAGCATGCATTTAACCCACAGTTTTCAGTGGTCTCCATCTCATACTACAAACATGAACTGTGAGTTTGAAATTTTTATCAGAATTCTGGCACAACTACATTTGTGTTCTGGCTAAAGACAACCAGCTAAAGCAGAAACAGGAGACTCTGGTTTCTTAGGGAAATCTAGACTTCATTCCTGGGTTTGGTCTTGTTGTTCAAATTCACAGGGTGCTTGAAGACTGCATGGATTTCTACTTGTAATGCACTTCAGAGGTATTTGTTGTGAGAAGACTGAAGTCTTCCTATATCAGACTTAATTTAACAGACTTCCTATTTGACAAATACGTGGAGTGGTGGAATTCCCAGTGCTCTGAAGGAGTTACCACACTGCTCCCTACTCAGAACCCACCACTGGCTTGTGTACCACCAAGACCCTGACAAGGAACTCCATGCAGGGGAGGGAGAAGGGTTAAAACATGCACAATGCAGCAACATTTTCAGACATCATTCAAAAACTAAACCTAGTGTATCAATGTTCTAGAAATCTCTTTGGCAGCACAAAATTAGTATGTTCTGGTGATCCAAGACAAAAATAAAGGCAAACATCCCAAAGAGTAGCTGTTTAGATTACTGAAAAGTAACTTCAAAAAACAGAGCACAAAAATGCCCTTCTTTCAGGTTTACTTGCAAGAAATCCAATCTATCCCAACAAGAATTGATTATAAAGCCTCTTTACTGTCAATCACAATCTCTGAATTAACCTGAAGGCGCTCACTCACACTGCTAATAATTCATTGTAGACACAAAGAATTTGAAAGCAAAGGGAGAACTGCATTGTGCAGACAACCCAAGCAGGTTTCCTAAACTTTCAGATAAGCAAGGACAGGAATTACTGTTTGTCAAAGGCATAGTTAATCAGGAGTAAGGGAACATACCAGTCTTTGCTGCTCCAACAAGAGATCAGCTTCCTCCTTCTCTTTCTTATACAAGATCTCCATTTCTTGTAATCTGAAGATGAACAGGAGAACAGAAGTAGTCAGAGGTCATTAGTTTCCTGTTGGTGTTACTCTACATGCACAGTCTCCTGAATTACAGTTACAAGAGTAAAGGTCATTAAAAGGAACTGTTCTCTACTACTCAGTACTACTGAGGTAAAACCCTGCAAGCTGCATTTCAGCCCTTTCCAAAAGGTCTGCAGTGTTAGTGGCCAGTGCTTACCTGTGATTTTTAAAGGAGCTGGAGCACTGAAACACTGCAGTAAAATGAGGAAGCTTTCTGAACTTCCACAAGGGGTAGCAGAGATGCTATGTGGCAGAACCCAGTAACCTACTCCTGACTCTTCCTTCTTTCAGGTTGAAATTTTGCGTTATTTTATTACCTTTTCTCCATCTCCTGCTTCATGTCAATGCCCTGCTTCTCCAGAAGCTCCCTCTGAGCAAATGTCCAGTCAACTGGCTCTGAGGGAGTCTCAGCTGATGGTGTTTTCTCTCTTTCTGCTCGTGCTTGCTCTGGGTGGTTGAATCTGAAGACATGATTTTTACCCATGATGATACGATTTCCTAGAAATAGGAACAGAAAACTGCAGCTGACAGAAGAATGATACCAAGTTCTATTTAAAAGCTAAAGGTGACACTATCCCTAAACAGCACCTAGCATTCCCCATAAATGATGCCAATGTCACATACAGAGAGTCTATAAAAAAATCTACGGTAACATTTCTTACCTGAGCGCAACTGCACAGGCTGCACAACCCTCTTGCCATTCACGTAGGTTTCTGATCGTTCACAAGGCTCCAAAGTTACAATAACTACAAAGAAAACATTGATGAGTGAGACTTTAGAGAGTCCTGTAGAGGAACAGAAGTGTGGAAGTCCCAGAGGCCTGTCATTTGTTGCCTATATTCATACTAACACCAAAGAAGTCAATCATCCCTGGATGTCTTGCTGCTTAAAAATAAAGACCCAAGAGGAAATCAATAGTACTGACTTCTCTACTTACTGCAGCTGGAAACTACTTTTTTTCATGTCTATAGTTAACCAGGGTCAGAATTTAACTGTTATACTGACTGCAGCCTACAATTTGAACCTATTATCACCTAAACAAATTTTATTTTCTTTCCCTACGACTCAAGAAAACAAGTCAAAACTGATCCTTTTCTTGAGGTCAGAAAACTTCCAAATCACAGGATTCCCTGGCCAGCTATGGGAGTGACAGAAGGTGAAAGGTTCAGCAGTGCCCTGTCAGGAGAAGCAGGTTCTTTTACCTTCCCCGTTGTTGTTCCTCTCGCTGCGGAAGACGCAGTGCTCCTCCTTGATGTGAGCCCCGCTCAGCACGATGTCCTGGCGCCGCTCTGCGTCAGCCTGGCCAACCCTGCAGCCAACACAGATGTGTCAGCAGCAAACCAGACACCTTCTACAGCTCTGCACTGGACAGCACTGCCCACAAACAGCCAGGAGAAAGCCTGAGTATTAAGACTACCCTTCAAATGTAAAGGTCTGGACCAGCGCTTAAGTCTGCACTGCAGAGAACCTGCCCGCTCTGCCGTGAATGGAGGATGACGGCTTTGCAAAAGAAAAGTTTTCTCTCCCTTAAAACATGTCACTTGGAGAACTGAAATGTCAAATACCTCTAGGTTTAATGCAATTCCTTCCCTCTTGTGAAACCCTTCTCCTTTTAGAAAGGGAGGCAAGGGGGGGAGGAACCCAACAAGAACTTCCAGTGCTGTGTTTGAGCTGGCAGACAGGGATCATCCCTCCCACTAATCACCTTCTGCACTTGAACAAAGGAGCACAAATGGCTCAGGAGGCTCTTGCTGAATAATTTGATGCCACAAGCAGTTTCATCCAGCATCTAGACAGAGAGGTTGGCTGTTCCCCTGGAGCACGAAGATGTATGTCCATTTCAAACCCAAGTGTTTGAGCAACTCTAGGTACAGACAGCTTAATTTCCAATCCTAATGGAATGAATTTGCTCTACTTATTAATTTACACATTTCTGATGCCAATGAGCTGGGCTCAAAACTTATAATGACTTCTTAAGCCCCAAGCTGTTCTAGTCATCATTCTCTGCTGAATTCTCTACACTTTGATACTCCTTTCAGTGGGCTTAATGCACCTTGGAGTAGTACCATATGCCAGCCCCTGTTGGTGTACTCTCTTCCATTTGCTCCCCAGGAATGCACAAACTAAGCAACCAAACACAACTTGGTGCTCCAAAACAAAATAAAAATAATCTCTCTCCTTCCAGCTGTTTTGAAAATAAGTTTTGGAATAAAATAAATTTTTAAATTGAAGTCTGGCAATTAAATTTTATCTCACATCTGTGAATGCAGAATCCATTAAATGTGTACTAAGCAAGCAAGCTAAGAAGGCAACTCCAGAGTGTATCAGCACCAACTCTCACCTTGTAATGCCATCTTTGATGTAGTACAGCAGACATTCAGACATGAGTGGATCTTCATTAAGGTTTACAAGATGAGGAGTCTGAAAGAACAAAAAGTTAATTAAGAACTGAGGTTCTGCTTTCAGGCTCCTTCCTGCAGCTGTGGAGGGTGAGCTTTAATCCAGCAGTTTTGCCACGTGTATCGAGATTATTTCATAATGGATTTTTTCAAACATAACCTCCTAAAGTATTGCAAAGCATCACAAAGTACCAGTGAAATACAGCTCAGATTGCTTAGTTATCCAAAATATCAATCCATGGAAGGAAGAAAGGCTTCAGCTGGAGAAAAAGTCGTCCTTATAAAGTCTCTGTAAACTTTGATAAGGGAAGTCCAAGAGTAGAAAAGGTTGCTTCAGTGAAATTTTGAAACTGGTATGGAATCAACTTTGGCTTTTCTTGGGCACAGGTCGGGTGCTTATTTGGCAAAGTCTGCTAACATCAAAACAAAATCTAAAACTACCAATATTCTCTGATACCAACAGCTAAGAAGCTCTTCATCTAAACTTCTTCTAAATTTAAATCCACTACAGATACTAAACCAACCTTCTTTGGTGAAAAAACCCCATTGGAATCAGCAAACAAGTCACAAGGCCTTGGTGTGAAAATCTAGCCAGTGAGATGGCAGTAAGCACAAGCACAAAAGAAAAGGCAAAAATGGTTAAACGTAAGTAAAGCAGAAAGATGATAAAAGAGAAACAAAACTGTTAATAAGCCACTTGTCCCTTTGTTATCCTCAAACAGAACAAATTTAGGAAAAATAGATAAATTTGGCTCAGATTCCTTATCAACACTATTTCCATCAACCATCACAGATGCAAAAAAGTTTACTTATGAGAGCTTTTAACAGCACTACATTTACAGAAGCTGTAATTACTGCAGAGTCATGATGAATTTGTCTTTGAATGAAGGACTCTGATTGTCAATCGCCCAACGGAAGATTGAGCTATAAGGACAGAAAGGGGGAGAGAAAATACAGCTTTTTCACCCCTAAAAATCCAGGGGTGACCCAAACTGCAGCTGAAGATGTTCCATGCTGCCATTGCTGTTCACTGCACAAATCAGCACTTGAACCTCTTTAGAACTTTTCAATCCAGAGAAAAATGGAGAGAAACCAAATCCCAGACACAGTCAGCTGCTGTAACACCACTACAACTTGCACCACTTGAATACTTTGTAAGAAATAAAGCTCCACAGCTTGAGAGATGATGCTGGCACTCCCAACTGTTCACTCCTTGCATATGATGAGATACATACTGGTACCTCAGAAGTGTAGAGTCTTTACACAGAACACTTCACATTTTCTATCTAAGCTCTCATCTCCTAAATTTTCAGAACAACCACAGTTACTAGAAGGACAGCTAATGGAACTGCAAGGATAGCAAGGAACAGAAGCAGACAGGACTGGGTTGGGAGTTTCACTTCTCCTAATAAATCCTATGTAGGTAAAAATAAATACTACCTATTACCCAAGCAACTACTTTATCCAGGTGGCATTTATACACAAACCTGATCAGCTGAAAATGCACCAAAAGAATCATCAAAAAGAGCTGATGGCCTCTGAGGAAAAATCTAAAAGGAGACGAGGATCCATAACATAAGAGAAAGAAATGCAAAGAACAGTCAATGAATCTGCCTCTTTACAAACCTCAGGCACTCCTGGAGCAGCGACCAAAAGCAAACTGGAGTTCTACCAACTCCAAGCACTGCAGACTAACACAATTCTAACTGAAGGATTAAACACTTTAACCAGTTCTGGGGTTCTACACTTCTGTGCAGTGCCTCTGAAGAGGTCCCTGCTTAACCCCAGATCAAGTTTACTACACACTTGCACACTAAAATATTACCCATGCTGCTTGTTCAAAGAGTTTTAAGATAAAAGAAAGTAGGTTTTTTCTCCTTGTACTTCTATAATTCTGCTTTACCTGCAGAGACAATTTCTTTGCTAACCTAATTATTTTACACTTACACTGATTTATGCCCTTTTCCTGCTCAGTTCTGCTTCTTTCAAATTTCAGAAAATAGAACTAATGGCAAGTATTGAATTATTATATTCCCTTGCATCCCCTGTGTTCACAGCTTCATTAGATCACCATCCTTTTTCCAAGGGGAAGAAGGATTAACAAACAGTTCAAAGAAGAGCATCTAAACAAGCCTTACATCTCCTCTGGGTATCTCAGAGAAGAGCAGGTAGAGCACACAAAGGTCACACAGAGCTACTGCAGGAAATGGCAACAGAATTAAGACACAGCACCTTCTGATTTGCTACTGAGTCAAGATACAAAAGGAGCTGCTTCTCCTTGCAGCACAGCATCTTCTAAAGGAAGATCCAAAACAGTTCAACTCTCATCACCCTCCTCCCAGGTCGTTTAGCCTTTTGGAAACAACTGCAATAGTTAGCAATTTTCTTTACCTTTTTGGGTGAGAAGACTCCCAGTGTTCCTCCATCTTCCCGAATGGCAACACCCATTTCTGCCAACAATGCCTCCCTGAGAGAGAAAAAGAAGATATTGACCCCATTTTAGGCTTCTTAGACAAGTAAGGTGTAATGAAAGCCAGGTGATTACTGTATTAGACTTTGAACCAGCTTACCCAGGACTGTCACCACCTCAGGGCACACCAGGGCAAGATGGTAACTTTAGTCTGAGAGTGGCCCATGGAACAGCAACTTTAACTGTGACAAACCCAGGAAAGAGCAGGACTTCCTCCCAGTGCTGCCCTGCTGTTCTACATCTGACTCAAGGGACAGCAGAACCATCCCTAACACCATTCTCCATTGCTCTTGAACAGAGTAACCTTCTCCATTTTCCACTTTCCAGAGACCATCCATACCACAGCACTTTTGATTCCTGACCTTTCCATCCTAATGGCCTCTGTTTTCCTCAGTTTCTCTTCCCATGTTTCATTCAGCTCTGCAATGATCTTCTCAGACTCCTGTGAGAAAATACCGAAAGCTGTTTTACAATTCTTCCCAAAGTTCTTCACAAAGCAATTGAAGTCTGTGCTCTATTTAGGCCTCAAATTAATTTCACATATAAAATGCATTCTTAGCACCTCAAAACTCTTGCTTGTTTCCCTTCATTTTAAAAAGGGCAGATAGTCCTGAAGGCAAACTGAGAATAAAAGATTACTTCATATCTAACCACGGTCAGACTTTATTTTGAACCATCTAAACTCATTTCCCTTTTTTTTAAAATCTGATTTACAGACATGATTCAGTAACTGACTGCCAAGGAAATGCAGAGAGCACACTGTTGTTGCCATGGCAACGGAGGGTTTCCAATAGGAAAGGGAAATGCAGAGTGTGCTCAGCCCTGTGGCAGCGTCTGATGGGCAAACATGAGAATGTGGCAGAGCCTCACCACAGCCAGCTCTGCCCACGCCTCCACCCCTGGACACCGGGGGGCTTTCATAAAAATCAAGAAATACTTCACTGTGATGCACTTTGCTGTGGTTCAGTTCCGTGCAGCACTGGGACAAGGCTGCCTTTGTCTGGCCCAAACATGCTATTCTGTGCTTCACATTTTAATCTGTGGGGGCTGGGCCAAGACAACAGTGGCAGGATTATTCTTCTTCCTTTTTTTCAACTTGGGGGTAATTTGGTTTTCTGACAGCTGAGTGCATTTGCAAGTCAGACTTGGCTCACACTAGTGCTGACCAGGCCTCTAAGTCTACACTTATGATCAAATTTTCCATAACTACAACTGCATCAGATGACCTGCAAATAAGAATCAAGAATTTAATTTATAATTTAATTGTGGCTCCAGGCTACAATTAAACCTAAATAATCTTAACCAGAAAGGTTGTGAATGAATCCAGTTTCTAGCCCACTGCAGTTAAGTGCCCTCTTTATGGTGCAAGTGGGTTTCAGACAATTTCTGCAGACACAGGAGATATTTATGAAAGGAAGTCCTCTCAGGTTCATGATTCTTTAGCCTCCTTCACACCCACCTTCAAACGCTCAATGGCCTCTTCTCCTCCAGGTGTTGACATGATTCTTTCCTGTATACTGGACACAGATGTTAAGCCCACCTGACTACTGAGAGAGCAGGAGGATGGAGATGCAGTGAGGGACCCCATGGAGGCTGTGGAAAAATTGCCAGGACGTTGATTCTCGGAGGCTAGCAAGTATCTATGCTTATTGTTCTGAAAATCTTTCAGATCTGAGAGAGAGACACACACAGAGGGAAGGCAGGAAGATGGGGAAGGAGGAGGAAAAAGGGAAGAAAGGAAGGAAGGAAATACCAGTGTAAGAGGAAAGCATTTAAGCAGCAACAAGGCAAGTTTTGTAATTTTTAGATGGCAGTTCTGAAACAAATCTTTTAATACTAGCAGCAATAACATAATAACTCAGACCCTGAGGTTCACTAGGAAACACTGCATCATAAGCCTTTCTAAACAAAAAGCTTGAAAAACTAAATTACACCTTGGCAAAAAACAGCCATCCTACTCCTCACTGAACACTAACCTGAGCACCCTGAAGCTCAGAGCAGGACCAAATTGAGATCCTCATGAGATTAGTGACATTTTGGGCTGATGTCTGAGACACCAACCCCTTAAGCTCAGGAAAACATTCTTTTCCAGAGCCCTTTAGTGTGAAATGATGATTAAGTAAATCTTTATCACAGCAGTGGTTCTGCTGCTGAAGCACCCAGAGCACATGGACAATGAACTTCCTCTCAAATTCTCACCAGAGAGGATGTGAATCACCTGTCAGTGCACGACAGGGACAAGAAGACAGAAGTTCACAACAACATCATTATGCTGCTTCTTCTTGACCTTCCTTATCTGAATAAAAATGGAAATCTAACACATCTGATCAGCAAAATATCTGATAAGGGTCTTACACTTCAGAAGGTGCTTCAAAGCTTTTTGGCTGTTAGTTTAAATAAGACAGGTCTTTTAAAAACCTCCAAAATTTAACAAGGTAGGTTTTGTAGTCTGAAAACCTGCAGGCCTGAAAATGCTGCCTTGAAAGCCAGAGAATAAGAAAAGCTGCCCGAATGATTTAAGAACAAATATACAAGGGAAATTTATATTAATTTAACTTGGCTTCTTGGATACATCTGTAAGCCATATCCTCAGAATAATCACACACCAAAAGAAAAATCTTCTACATATGAAAATATCAGATAACTGAATAGCTCAGTTTTAATATTTTAAAATTTAATTTCAAAGACAAATGCTTTAAAATAAGTTACTTCAGGAAAGAAACAGGTCAAATCAGACCCTGCAAGTTATAAACAGGGGCATCACACTTACAAAAGTGAGATGCTCCCCCAGACATTGCATAAATTTCCCTGTCCTCCTACATCTCCTCTGCTCTTCCCCTGAACAATCCTGCCATTGTCAGCCTTATGCCCTAGTTCACTCCGTGCTCAACCTGCTCTTTCAGCCTCAGGGAGCTGATGACTGCCCCGAGTCAGTTTGAAAACCACCATCTGCAAATCCGGGAGGCAGGGCTGGGAGTCGCACAGAAGAGAAGCAGGTTAAGGGAAGGGAATGCTGCCAGGATGAGGAAAGCAGGCATGACAGAGCAGGATGAAGTCTCAAAAGGCCATGCACTCCTGAAGAGAAAGGCAGTGGCACTTGCAATAGCTCCACAGTGGCTGTGCCACAGAGAACCAGAACGCTCAGGCCCATGCACGCTGCTCCTGGAGCCGCAGCTCTCACACCACGACGTGCGCACGCTGCAGGCAGCATCGCAATGTCACACAGGCCAGCACGAGTCTTTACACCACCAGGAGCTTCAGTTTTAGGAAATTTCAGACAGATCTCTTTCAGCTGATATCGAGTGAGGGTCAAAAAGACTGACTGAAAGAGTTTAAAAAGCCTATGAACTCAAAATTTACATGGAGTACACTTCCCTTGCAATAGACTACATATATTCCTCTTTCTTAGAAGCAAACACCAAGAGAAATAAAATGCTCTTTGCTGACTGGTTTTAGCCCTGTTAAGTTAATCAACTGCAACCAAGTTGATTTAACCTCAAAAAAACAGACCTTCATCAGTAAGATGTCTGCCTTCTTTTTTTTCTTTTTTTTTTTAATGATTATACAAAATACATTGCAGTGTCCAGGAGGAAGTGGTAATACTTCATCTTGAGTTCATCAACTGAAACATTTAAAGCAAATACTTCAAAGTGGAAAAGAGCTGCTAAAATGCCAGGAAGCTACGTGAGCAGGAACTGAGTAACTGGGGAAAGATTTGAGAGAAAGATTCTCTGGTTCAAATCTAAACCGTGCACTGTCATGAAAACACACTGGAGAACTACCACTCTCCCTTCTGTATTCTGCCAGAAAGTAACAATGAACATATGTTGCACTTCAAACTCTGCACTTTTTTTGGTTGTGGACTCAATCTAAGAAGTGCTGGTGAGGCTGGTTTTCATGAACCTGCACTTCATTCCAGTGAGTGTTCTGTCTGGGATTTCCCTGTGAGAAATGCTGGCATGCAAAGCTCTGTTAAAAGCTGACCCAGAGGAAGCAGGTTAAAAAGAGAACCACACAATACACACATTTGCCTCCACTTCCAGAGTATTCATCTCCCATTGGATCAACTGAAAGGAAGCAGGAGGGAAAATACAAGAAGGATCAAAACTGAAGGTTCACTAGTGACATAGGAAGGGAAGAGAATACTACTTGATGTTTAAAGAAACAAAACACAGTTTTCAGTAACACAGGTTTTTTTCAGTTTGGATTTAGAATCAAACCCCACAGACTGTAACAAGCATGAAAAACACTTGTATTTCATTGTCTTCTGGCCCCATTCTCTTGAAACCAAGCAAACAAAGAGGTAGATATATGTTGCATGTCTTTAGTAGTCTGTGACTATGTCAGGACTTCTGCTTCACCAACAAAGAGGTCTGAAAAATCAGAAACTGGTGCAACACCTTTTTTTTAGTCAAAGAAGCTTTTAATCCACTGGACTACATTATGTGCTTTTATGGGCATTTCCTTCACTAGGAATTAAATCACTGTTCATATTACAGAAGAATGTAGCAGCTAAAATTTCAGTTCATTTGTCTTGTTTGGAATGAAGACAAAGAAATTGGGCACAAGTGTGTTCTAGTGCTTTAAGAGGTTGCTGGCAAAGCAAATCAGTACAACACTGCTCTGCCAACCTAACTCAAAATCTCCCAAAAGGATTCATTAGTTATTCACAAGCAGCTGTTGCATAGTTACTTCACGATGACAAATGATTTGTCACTCAGGGCACTGTCTAACATTAGCCATAGTTTTCTTTTGTGAGCAAGGATGGCATTGAAGCCAGGTATCAACTAACAACGTTAACCCTCTGAGGAGGAAGCAAAGATGCCTTTTTTCCTCAGTATGAAACTGAGATTTTGTATCTCAGCTCTTTTATTGGCAGCCAGACAAAAAGCTCTCCATAACTCAGCAGAGCAACTCTGGAATGTGCAAGTTCTATTACACAAAACATTTGTACAATAATAGGAAAATTCAAACTCCATATCTTTCCTTGAGAGCTTGAAGGTGGCTTGTCAACTCCATAGACAAACCTAAGATGGTTGTTCAAAGACAGAAAGGGCTGCCACTTCTAAAATCACGTTCGAAACTTAAATATCAGCACCTATATTTAAAATCTGTGTTTTAAATCCCTTTCTCTTACTGGCTCAGGTCTCCCTCCTCTGCCAGAGGCCAAGCCCAGGACAGTGAGGTGTGTTTAATCCACTTACTGTCAATAATATCTCCCAGCCCTTGAGCACGCAGGAGATCCTTGAGCCTTGTCACCTCCTCCTTCAGCTCCCGCACCAGCTTGGCGTTGGGATCTTCATTGATAACAGCATTGCATTTGATCTGCTTTGCACGATCAGCATATCTGCAACCACACAAAACAGTGAAACCTTACCACAAACATGGAACTGATTACACACAACTTGTATGCAACACAGGAATGCAGCAGCACAGAAGACATTTCGCTTGCAGCTGTATGTCAGAAGAGTAGGCAATAAATCCCTGCTTCCTCTGTAGGGTAATTGAATTCTTGCCAGTAGAGTCTTTTTCCCCACAGATAAGTTCAACTTACAATAAAGCAAAGGTTTAAAGGACAAAGCATGGCCTTTAGAGCAAACAGTTACCATATCCATCCCAGAGCAAGAGAAAGTACCTTAAAGTGCTCAAAGTTTCATCGTAGTTTATGTCTGCTGGACTGAGAGCAGCGACCATTGCAGTTCTGGAGTTACCACCTAGAGTGAACAGGCAAGAGTTTAGATCAAACTACTGTGGAGTGCACACTCCAGGCATTCCCTACCTACCAAATATCAACGTTTTCAATAAATTATAGAATTCAACTAAAGTACTAATAAACATACAAAAACCACAGGAAAGAGTTATAGCATTAACATAAGGTGGAACTATGACGACTCAGATTTGGCTAGTAAAGATATTTAACCTCATACTCAATACAAATTTAAATGAGTTAAAAGCAGTCAGGAAATTCAGTGGGACTTTCTTTTCATATTGGCACAGGCAAATCAAGCATACCTAGATTTTCTCGAAGAAGCCACGTTAGTACAGAATCCCTGTAGGGTATGAAGTCTGTCTTCTTCTTCTTTTTGCTCTACAAACAAACAGCACAATATGAAAAATAGGAAGGATTTTCTGTGTAAGAAAGATGTGAACATCTTCCTGACATTTAAATTCTGTGTTCTAACACAATTCCAAGCAGCAAACCTTACACTAGGCAAAGAAACCAACATCTACTCCTACTCAGACATCATACCTTGCTGGTGCAGTTATCCTAATTTGAAAGCATTAAGGAAAAAGGAAGAAGAAGAAGAATGAGCTTCTTAACATAGATCAATACATTGTTTCCATGTCAGACAGTACTTCCTTTTCTTAAAAAGCCAAATTAATGAGAATCACTTCAATTTTTAAAAAATCATCTAAAAAATACTTCAGCATATTCAACCTGTCCAAGGTGTTGACTCACTTTTAAAAGGAACAAAAATAATTTATTTGTTTTGTTTCTTTGGGGGTTTTTAATAGTAGTTGAGTACAAAAAGTGCTTTCCGAAACCCACAACATTTTGCTTGGATCAATATATGCTTACTTAAGACATTATTAAGTCTTGCCATTGCAAAGAAAGCCAGTGAATCAAATTATTGCACTGGTGTTTCCTATAAATTTTAACAACAAAGCTGCAGTTAAGTTTTCTAAAATTATTCTTTCAAATAAAAATAAAATTACTGCACTGCAGGTCTAAAAACTTGCTATGTCAACAGGTCTTCAACATAAACACAGGCTTCTTTTGCAAGGCTTCTTCACAGTTAAACAAACCAATGCTTCCATCTGTTGACAGCCTGTGTGACACCCACAGAAGAGTATCAACTCTATTAATCTATCAAAATACACACAGCTAATAGGGCTGAGAATGCAAGGCCAAGAACAGCAAATGATTCTGCTGTACTCCACAGATTTTACTGTTTCCGTTTGACCAGTTATGCAAAGGTTGTTGCAGGCAAGGAAATGCTCTACTTACCACTTCAGCCAATGCTGAAATAACTTTGCCCAGAGTTGTGAGAGACTTGTTTATATTTGCTCCTTCCTGAGAAAAGAAAAAACAGTATTATATAGTAATTAAAACAATTCAACCATGAATCTCTTCAGGTCTTCAGGTTTGCAACTATTTCTCCCATAGTTATAACTTATTATCTGTCCAGCAGAGCCTCCACGTGATGCCTGTGCCCTCCCCAGCCCCGCACCTTTAGCCGCGTTCCTTTGGCACCGGTGGAGTCGGCTCGCTCACTCCCAGCCAGATCCACCAGGCTGATCTTGCTGACCTGAAGGGAGAAAGCACATGAACAGGATTGTGAGAGCAAGGACAGAACTACAGTCACTGCAGGGAAGGTCAGTGAAAAACAGCCAGAAAGCCACTTATCTGTAACACACCTTCTCCGTGGAAAGGTCAGTTTCTGTGTCATGTTTCTTCTGAGTAAAGACAATTGTAAACACAGCATGAGAGCGGCTGCTGGTTTCATTCATGTTGGTGGCTGCCACAGTCCTAAAATATGAACAGATATGAGCATGTTTAGAAAAGGACAATTACCTGCAGGGCTGAATGCAGCTGCAGAGGAATGAGAGCAAAAGGCTGCACAGGCGATGTGCTGCCCTGTAACCAAGACCCAGCCACACCTAGTATCATTCCCAAACTCTCACTTTTTCACTCCTGAATTACTCCCATCTTCATCACTGTTTAAACAGAGCTTTCTCAGTCTGTGTACTCAGTAGTCCATCTTACATGCAAACACCCAAGAACACTTGAGCAGCATTTATGTGAGTCCTTCTCACACACTGCTGAATGAAGCCAACAGATTGCATGGAAACAATTAATAATGAACCAGAAACTGAAGCTGGAATGCCAACTTTACTCCTGACCACCTGAACTGAGGAAAGAGGAGACTATTCACATAGGTTTTTATACTAGGATAGTGACAGAGTACACAGCAAAGGCAGAAGTAAATGCCAGATAATTTTTTAGACTGTATCTGAAGTCATTGCAATCTTTAAATGTCTACACATTGATTTGAAGCACTAGTTCAGCACACAAAGCAATTTCAGCTTTTAACAGCATTGATCAGTGCCTATTTCAATAACGCTCCTCACTCACAAGAGGTTTTTTTAACGTGCTAATGCATAACACTGATAAGAATATATAACACAGCCCATCACTTACCTGGCTTTGTTCCCAGCATCCATGAGGTCTGCAATGTCTGTGTAAGATGTGACTGCTAACTTGGACAGGTCTTCCACGTAGGGTCCAAGGAGAGGATGTTCTCGCACCCGCAAGTTCCCTTTGTTCTTCGGGTTCAACAAGTCTCTGACTCTCTCACAGTAAATCTCCATGTAACTCACCTGAAAACAGGAATTTTCACAGACAATTCAGTATTTCTGAAGGTCACCTCCACTGCATTTCAGAGTGCCAGTGGCAGAAATTCCCCCAGCCCACCACAGGAAATCTCCGGGTGTCTCGGGTCATTTAACAGCTTAAACACTGGCAGAGGCAAAAGTCTCCTACATCACACCTCTGACATAAGCTGCAGGCCCTGCATCCATGCATAGATCCTTCAACCATTTCAGAAACTCTGGTGTGTAATGAAAAATTATACACTGGAATCCACAATCCCCTTAACAGCTTTAATATGACACATCACAAGCATCAAACAAGACAGATGGTAAAAGGAGTCTTCTTGCAAGGAATGTCTCCTATGAGCCACCAAAGCCAACTTAAGAAGGCAAAAAAGTTGATCTTTCTTGTCTGCAGAAGAAACTTTTGATTTTAAAAATCATGGCTATAGTATTTGACAACAAACATGCAGTCTTCCAGCTATTAGTAAAAAAGAAAAAACATCTGTAAATGCATCTCTAAATTTTTCAGCCCTTCATTTTTTTCAGGATTACTACACAGGTAAGGAACACTGGGTTTTTGTTGAGGGTAAAAAGGAGTCACAGAAAGATTTTTACATTTGTTTCAAAAGAGAAAAGACAAAAAGCCTTAACAAAAATTTAAACCCCAAAACTAATCAGAAATCAGCATCTTAACGTATCATCAATAACCCAGCACCTAAGCTCAGTTTGATGTCCAGCACACAGACATTCTTTGATCCCTCACCACACTCACCTCTACAGAATATGACATTTCCTCATTGCTGTTGTCATTGATTTTCTCAAACAGCTCTTCACATAGCTGGAAAGAGATTAAGCCCAAGTCAGAAATGAGTCTTTACTGAGAAGTAAAAAGTAACTATCAGGACATGTAATGGAAATGGCTTTAGAATGAGGGCAGTGAAAGAAAATTAACCCAATGCATCAACCACACACAGCCTCACTGGGAGGATAATTCATCTCAGTCCTACACCACTATCACCCTTATTTTGTCTAGTATCTCAGCAATTGCTCTAGGTTTCACCAATACCATTATTCTGTACTGTAACATAAGCAGTAAGCCTTAGTTCTGTTAACTCTTACTGCAATACAGAACACAAGTGTGTGTCTGAAGATGCTACAGAAACCAAATGCCCTTTCTGGGCTGGGTCCTACCTGGGGAATGATGCCTGCTTGGCTCTCCTCCTGCTTGCCCATCATGGTGTAGGATTTCCCAGCTCCAGTCTGGCCATAGGCAAAGATGCACACGTTGTAGCCCTCAAAGGCGTGCAGGAGCATCTCCTTCCCAATATCATTGTACACACGGCTCTGAGATGCAAAGCAGGGATCTTCAGGCTGGAAAGACACCAAAACAGCATCAATACAGACTTCTCCTATCATTTGAGTAAGATTTCAAAAAGCAAGTGGTTTTTTTAATACTTTTGTCTTGTGGGTCAATCCCTTAGGAAGAGGTAAATGAGGCCATTTTTACACACAGGTTTTTCCCAAGGTAGAACAAGATGGAGAAGAACAACAATGACAATGTCACTGCATTGTTTGTGAGTGTATCTTAGTCTTAATCTAGCATTCTCTTGCTTCCTGAAACGTTGTATTTTAACATTACCTGCTCCTGAAATCAGGACAAATTTAGCTGTGCTAACATTCTAACGTCGGGATCAAGATTTTATCAGACCTCTTCTGTTCCTTGATGCTGCTTATCTGCTAGTTTTCATGCATTCTGTTCATAATGTTCCTGTGACTGGGCTATAATCAACTTTCATGGCTGCTCTGAAAAACTCAGGAAGAGAGGCGAGTATTTTATTGTGAAAACAGTCTCGTTGACCACAAATTTGCTCAGAAATATTAAATCTTATTTCACCATCTAAGTTACTAGAATTAATCTTAGAGAAATGCATTATCCCTTCTTTGTACATCTTTTGGAAAACAAGGCAGGGGAGGAGGAGGTGGCAGAACAACACAGTTCTGCTGGAGAACAATTACTGGAAGTCAGTGAGAGCTTAGCACCGATTCACAGGAGGGTGGGGCACAGAAGCTGGATGAGAATTTATTGCTTTTGCAGCTATTGGAAACATGGATCACTGTGCTGCCTTTTCCAGATATGCCAACAAAACCCATACCATGTATCCCCTTGAACTGTAAGGACTCGAGCAACTGTCATTTGTCCAAGAGGAAAAATGAACTACCATGGCACATGTGCATCCTTAAAATATTTAGAACAGGACATTGTTGGAGAATATTTTCAGTAATCTTTCGAATATGTACAAGTTGTTTTAGCTTTCTGCTCTCACCCAAACAGGGAAACACAACATACAATGTCAAGCTTTTAACCTGAATGTGGGTGAGAAAGACTGTGTAGAAACATCTGACAGGGGTGGCATGATCAGAAGAGAATGTTAAACCAAACAACAAAACCAGGCCTTCTTGTCAAAGCACTTACCGATGTGTGGGACCAGTAAGAGTAGTCAAAGCTGAAGGACTTTGGTGCTTCCTTAGGATTCTTTGGGTTGATAATACCTACAGGAATAAAATTCAAACTCTTAGCTAAATTGACACTTAGGAGCATAATTAATAAGCTGGCTGACCCACAATCTGTGAGTCTGAGTATTCAAAGTTGCCACATGGCATATGAGTAGGAAGACTGTAGTAACAGACTCACTGCTTCCTAATACTATTATTTCTGTAGGACTCATTTTAAGTAAGACAAGAAAAAAATTCCTGGGAGAAGTATGCTGTTGCTTAACAGAATTCTGTGCATTCCACAGAACCAACAAAAGCTTTTTCAGATACCTTTGGGTTGGTGGGTTCAGTACTGCGGGGTTTTTTTCCTTCCCAGCAACAAAACTGCTTGGTATAACCTTTGCCTGCAAGGGAGCAATGCACAATGGATCCAGCTGTCATTGCAGTGGCACACACAATGCCTGTAGTTCTGTATTCCAAGGAGGGTAATTTATAAGCACAGCCCTTGTTGCAGATGTGAATCTCTACTGCTTCCTTCTTTTTGATACTACAGTGGTGCAAATACTTAAATCTATTATTTCCAGCAGCTGTTTTCAACACCATCTGTGTAAGCAGGACTGCAAAAAAGCATAGTCCTGAGGGTATTAGATAAACCACCCTGGATTTACACATCTGCCCCTGCACCTAAAGCAGCAATTTGCCCCTGGGAGTGAGACACTAACTGTGATGTGTGCAAATAAAGTCCACAAGGAAATAAGCCATACAAAGGTGTCAGCAGTCTTCCTGGGGATGATTTACATCCTGATACCAGACACCCTAGAAAGAAGATGCTTATTTGTCACATATTCTTCCAGTTAGCTTATGCTTTGTGAGACTGGAGCTTCTCTCTTTCCTCCTGTGATGAATAAAAATTATATCACCCACAGCTCTTACCATTTCAAACATGAACTTAGCGTCTTGTTTCACTGAAATCTCTGAAAACATGGTTACAGGATCCCCATTAAAATCAAATCATTCCTCTACCAGAGGCTGTGTTCCTGAGCAGGGCTGCTGTCCAAAATGACAGTGTGGAGAAAAGATCACTGTCTGGATTGCAAATAGCAACAGTTGCTACTCTATTTCTCCTGGCCAACTCCGTTTCACTTGGATGCACCTTGTGCTGACATTCTTGCCTTAAAAAACCTGACAGACATGCAAAGCCAATGAATTATATGCACCAGCACAGTATCAAATTGCCAAAAATGCTTGTGGCTTTGGATAGCAACACGGGCATCAACACAGAACAAACTGTAACCTAAGCAATCATCCATGGTTTCAGCTTCCCTTTACAGCTTTGCCCGAACAGCAGCACAGCTCCACTCACTATTCCACCAGTCCTAAAGAGAACAAAAAACAAACCCCAAAGACAGCTCCCTGCCCCAAACTTAAATTAGTTCTGTCCTTGCAGGATATTCACACTGCTAAAACTCAACAATTTTCCATTTAAAAATTTAACATCAAGGCTCTGAAAGGTAAGGGAGACATAATGCCTTCTATCTGGAAGTCCCCACCCAAAAAAAGCAGTACAAATAATAGAATCTCCACTTTAGTGTCTGAAAAGGCACTACAAAGTTGCCATTAGTTCCCCTTTCTTGTTTCCAACCTAAATTCGATCCATCATGTTGGAGAAAAGTGAAGTCCAGGCTCTGATTTATGCAAGTCACTGCATTCTGCTCCATTTTTTTCTCTTTTTAAACCACTGTTGTTATTATTATTATTATTATTATTGTTATTTTCTTAGACAGACTTTCCTCAGCCCTTCACGCTGACTTCCATGTCCAGCTCACTACTTTGAAAATCACTTTTCAGGGTACATGCTTTTGCAAAGCATATCTTGAGAAGTGTATCAGGAAAAGGAGTTTAATGTGCAAGACAGCAGCTCTGTCAGAGGTTGGGAATGCAGCTGCCTGGCCAAAACCTTCCACTGCAGCAGGAAAGGGTCAGAGAAAGCCTCCCAGCTGCCAGGAACTCTGCATGCTGCCCCTCACCACTGGGATCCAGACACAGCCGCTGCACTCAGCCTGAAGTCTGTTCATCCCTGTTTCTGTTTCTTGCACACAGGCTACAGCCTCCATTTTCACAATTCTCAGTCCACAAATGAATCCAGCAGAGTTAACTGGATGAGAAAACAGAAGATGACAATCTCAACAGATTTCAGCTGGACTGAAACCCTCTTCATTTGGGGCACGGATCACCAGGTGGGTGCTGCCAGGACTAGTGATGTCTGATGTAGTCTGGGTTTAAAACCAATGATCAGGCAGGCAGCAATGTGATTAAAACACCTGGAAGATGATGAGACAGCTAGGAAACTAGGAATTCAAACAGAAATAACTGACCTCACTTGAAGTTAGCTATTGCACCAAGCATCATCTTCAGAGGGACAAGAAAAGCCATGAAATCTAGCTACTTTTAAAGCAAGCTAATGGATATTTCTGAAGAAATTAAAAGGCTTCTTATAGTACAGGCAAGCTTTATCCTAAAAGTTCATATGCCAAATTGGGAAAAAAGAAATAGGGATGCAGAGATTAGACTGAGTTGGCAACACTGATTTTATGTACCATGTTTCTCAACCTGCTGTATTTTCCGCTGACCAAGGAAACAAATACAATTAAAACAGAAAGAGGACTGTTCTCAATGTCTCCGATAGCCACAAGAACACGAACAGATTTCAGTTACTTTGTTTGGTTTTTAAACCATGCAAGGCCAAGATGAATTATCTTAGTGAATCATGAAATAGGTCGTCATCTATCTCCTCTCCCCACAGCAGCCTCACCGCACGGTCCACACACTAATGGTTTAATTACAGAGCCTCAGGAAATGAGAAAGGCAATAAGGCAGACGATCACAGCAGGAACGCATTAATAGTCTTTTTATCTTACAGAATAAATTTGTTTATCTGCTATTTCAAAGGTCCAATGTGGCAATTAACTCTTCTGTTTGCAAACTGACACTGCTGCTTTGTGCTGCAGCTATAATTACCATCAGCATGGCACCGGAGCAGCTCTGAATGCTGCAGTTAGCCAGTTTCTGAGCAAATCCCTCTTCCAGGCCCCTTGCTTCACCAAGAGCCAATTTATTAGGTCATGGGGTATCTTGTAGCCTTCCACAAGCCAAGCTTTCTGCAGCAGAGACACTGGAAGGGATGTTCCACAGAACCACTGAGTGCCACACCACTGCTAGGAAACAGGTCACACCTGGAGCCCCAGGTGAGAAGGATGAAACACGCTGAGGATAAATATTTCTCTGCTGCAGTGCTGAAACCTCTTCTGGGATTGAAGCAGCAACCACAGCAGGGGTTAATGCCCATCATTTACCTTTGGAATGGAAGGCCAAAAAAAAGGCAAGAGAATGTTCACGGGATTAAAGCGTTTTCTACAAATCACTGATTTGGTTGAGAGAGATAAATGCCCATATTATTACATTTCTTTATTTGAATAATGAATTTCTGGAAATTTTTAATAATAAGCTTCTCCTTAAAAAATAATACTTAGATCTGCTTTCTACCTTTGTACACAAATAAAGTAACTACATGTCATAAACTGAGATAAGTAAGCACCCTGTGTGAACAGCTCTGCAGCAGTACCCACGAGAAGCAGGGTTTAGTACCCGCTGCCGTGCCCACCTAGAGACACAGCCTGCATTTTAAAAGCTTAGTGTCCCCTTACAGCTGTACCGTGAGCCAAGCTGAGCTGCTTCACACCATCCAAAGTTTCTCTAAGCAGGAGTAATTCACATATTCCCTGGAGCTCAAGCAATTTAAACAATTCTTTGTAGCTGCTTAGCTGTTTAAGTTTGATGGACGTTTTGATACCTGTAACTACAAACATTTTCTATCTCACTGACCAAAAGGTAAGGAAACACACAGTTTTAAAAGAAATTTCTTCACACTAAATAATCTCATTTTTCTGAGTATTATATAAGACCCAAATACTGATTGGTCCTTGTACAGGACAAGTACATAGTAGGAGCAGTACAGAGGAATAAAAGGAGAAAGCAGGAGCACAACAAATGAAAGAATTATACTCTCAGATGTGCTCTGCCAACAGTAACAGACCGATCTCCACAAAACATTTGGATTTTAACATACTCTTACTTAAACAGGCAATTTCATCTTTTGGCATTTTTATTTCCACAGTCCATCCCACTTGTTCCTTAATTAACATTTTATATACCATCCACCATCTGCTTTATCAGCTAGCACAAAAATAACATATACTTTCAACCTTTCAAATCTATGAGCTCAAATTCATCCCTTATTTTTTAGCAAACACTGTAGCAATACTTGAAAGACCACTACTGAAATAGTACCCATATATTTCATAGTATGTATTATATTGCATTCCTATGTCATTTTGGACATCCAAATTTTTTGCCTTAGAATCCAATTTTTATTTCTGAAGCTGAAATTCAAGAAGCACAGGTCAAATATACCTTTGTTTTACACTTATAACCAGAGTGTGGAGCACAGTTGAGAGCTGATGCAAAGTTAAAACCTTCCAGGGTATTTTCAACTGGAAGCAGCATTCTGTCTTCTCACTTCTTTCTGAACACACACTCACACACTCACAAACACATTCCCACTTCAAGCCTTCATTTCTGGACTTACACTTCCAGTCTCCTTTAAAACCAACCAAGTAAACAGACAGTGGGAAGCCTACAAAGGGGAGAAAAAAAATCCACAAAAGCAAGGAAACTTAGCCAAGATCAGCCCCCTCATTCCATTCCCATCTACTCAGTCACATAAATATTTTTGCAGGCACAAAGAATGACTAGAAGTGCTTCTTAACCACTCCAAACTCGTATCAGATTATGACACTGAATTTGCAGTTCAAGCCTGCTCTGCTCTTATCCCAGTCAGTGCTGCTCCTCAGCATGTCACAAATTTGTCAGATTAGAAACTATCTGCAGCTCAGGATCTGGGGATGCCCAGCACACACAGCTCCTGCTAATAAGCTCGTGGAACAGAGAGACAGTGCAGAGCACTCAAGAGGCAAGAGCTGAAATTATTCTCTTGCCCT